GGGGACCCCCACCCTCTCGCCCTCCTCCAGCTCCTCCTTCTTGTCTGCGGGCCCGGGCCTCGCAGGGACCCCGCCAGCCTCTTCCTTTACGTCTGGGGGACTGAGATCCTGAGAGGAGGGGGCTCCAGCAGCGGGGGCCGAGTCCTGGCTTTTTCTGGTCAGGTCCTGGGGGACGAGGTCATCGTCTGTTGGGGAAGGGGTGAGGGAGAGGGGCTCAGCCTGCGGGCGAGGTTGCCCTTACCCACGCACAAGGGGGGGCCCTGTTCCTCACCCCAGGCCCAAGTTAGAGGGCCGAGCCAGTGTGTGTGGGGGGGGAGGGAGAGGAGGAGAGGAACAGACCCCACTGCAGGGCCACCTGGGCCCTGGGACGGTCCTCGCACCTGGTGGGGGCTGAGTGAGCTCAGACAGTGTCTCGGGTTGGCCACCCCAGGCCTGCAGCAGGGCACTGCGCTGGGGGCCGCTGAGCCCCAGGGAGCTGGGGTGCACCTCCAGCACGTGGGCACGGATGTCATCCAGATGCAGGCTGGGCAGTGCCCGGCCACATGCCATGCACACCAGCCGGTTCCCCCGAGGGTCATAGTCCATGAGACACTCTGCCCGGAACCAGTTCTGCAGGGACTCCTTCAGCCTCCGTTCCAGGCGCCGCGCCCCCAGCCCCCTGCTGCCCCTGGCCCTCCGGGAGGCCGAGTGGCGCTGGCGCCGAGCCCGGGGTGCCACTGGGCCCCCTCGTCGCTGGCGCCTGCCGGCCCCACCAGCTGGGGCTTTGCCTGAAAGGGTTGGAGGGAGGGAAGGAACTGAGATGCTGCCCTCTGGGGAGCCCCCCACCACAGCCAGGTCCTCCACCAGCCTCTGCTCACTGACTCTGAGCCCCTGGCCTAGCTGTTGTCCTCTTGTTCTCCCCTCCTGTCTTCAGTCCCCTCTCTTCTAATCCTCCTGCACACAAACCCTGAGACCCACCACTCTGCCCCCAGACCCAGATTCTAGCACCTTCTCTGGACTTCGCTGTGCAGCCATACCTTTCTAGCACCCTCCGTTCCCAGCCCTTCCCCTGCCTACCCTCCAGCCTCCACTCTCCTTGATCCTTCCAAAGCCACCGAAAGTCAGAGCTGTCTGGGATGCTGGAGACTCCCTGGCCCCGCCCTCTCTCCCCCACTACTGTGCAAAGGGCAGTGAGCAGACCCCACCCAGGCCCCTGCCTCTCCATGTCCTACATTACCTGGGCCCTTGGATGGGCAAGCTTGGAGGTTAGCCCCCTCTTCTTCCTCTTCCTCTTCCTCCTCCTCCTCCTCCTCAGGCCCCGGGACCCCCAGGCCCTCAGCCTCTCCACAGGCCCCCAGCCCCAAGTGGGCATCCCAGCTGTTGCTGATCACTTCCTTCTCCCGGGGACTCCAATGCAGGGAGTAGGGGTGCTTTTGGCGGATGTGCCGCTTGATGGTGCTGAGCTTGAGCGTGGCCAGGGAGCTGCCGCACACCATGCACACCATGCCATGCCGGGCAGGGTTGAAGTCCATCAGGTACTCCAGCCGCCAGTGGTCATGGTAGTATCGCCTGTGGTCACGGCCTGGGATGCGGCTCTTTCCAGGCCTGGAGGCCCGGGCCTCACAGTGGTCTGAGTATTTCCTGCCTGAAGATGGTGGTCCCCTGGACCTGGAGGAGGGTAGGGGGGCACTCCCCCAGGACCCCAAGGCACCCCCTTCCAGATGAAGATCTTGCCCTGAAGAGGGGGAAAGGGAGACAGTTTTTCAATCTCCGATTTCCAAGGAAAGAACCCAGGGCTTTGGTGTTTTGTAGCCCAAGAAAAGGAGCGAGGGCTCGCTCAGGGGCAGGAAACCGATGACAACAGCAATAACAGGGCTGTGGGAGAGCGGGGAGTCAAAACAGTGGCCCTTTAGAGAGGGTGAGGGCCCTTTAAGAGAGGATCAAGAACAAAAGGATGCCGGGCACTGCGAGGGACTAGCTCTGACTTTTTAAAAAATAAGGTGAAGACCGAGGAAGCAGCGGGCGCTGTAAGGCACCCTTTTTGGACAAGAGCCGTAGGGGTAAGGCCAGGAGAGCAGCATGCTGGGCGGTTACAGCCGGAGCGGAGCGGGCAGCGGGGCGAGAACAAAGGGGGCATCTGTCTGTATCCAGGGCTGCACGCAGGACCCACCCGCGTGAGGCCCCGGCCAGGAGGGCCCCACCCAAAGACCTTCTTCCTCTTTCCAGGACAGCCTCCTGAGAGCCCCGTTTCAGGGGGACTGAGCACTGTCAGGTCCCCACATATAGGCAGCCACAGAGGGGATCCCCATGACAATGCTGTCAGCACCTCCAGGACAAGGCATGTTTGGGACCCTGACTTCCCTGGAGACTTTAAAAGGGGTTCGGTCAGCAGGAGGGCCACCAGAGTGGCCCCCGCCCCTGGGAGCCCAGCAAGTCTGTCTGTAGATTTGTTTTTCGCTCTGGCAGGGAGCTGGCCACTGCCCAGCAATCAGAGGGCGGGCACCCGAGCCGCCAGGAATGAGCCCAATAACCCAGCAACGTTCCCTTTTGCCAAACAGACGGAGATCCAGACCAGGCCCCCACCCTAACTACAGTTTGGACCCAATTTTTATTTAAGCCGAATAGACAGGTGTGATTATTACCCAAGTGGGGAATCTCAGGGTACAGGGTAGGGGAAACAAAAGACAGGACCAGAGGGGGCTCCCGTCGCCACTGTATTTTGTTTAAATCGCTCCAAAGAAAAAATACGGGCTTCAGAGTTAAAGGCCTGGGTTCGAGTCCCGCCTTCACTGGTAACCTGCTCTGCGGCCTTTCATAAGTCATGTCGCTCTCTGGGCCTAAGCTCTTTGTCTGCAAAGGCACTGGATAGCTCGCCCGTCTCTTAAGCATCCTTCCAGCGCTGGATCTCTGATAGTCTACGGTGGACTGGCCCTTTAAGAGCCGAAAAAAGGGGGAGGAGCCGAGATTTTTTAAAAACAAAAGGGGACGGGGAGAGTTGAGGGGGGGGGTCTCCGAGGTTGGGGCCAGCTCCTGGGCCTGACAGCCTCCACGGGTCTTAAGGCGTTGACCTTGCAGCAGGGAAGGAAGCAGCGGTCTCCTCTGGGAGCGAACGGGGAGGACCGGCTGATGCCACTACAGCTGGCAAACTGTGGCCAATTTTTCTGAAAAGACGGGAGCTACGCGGACAGGAGGGGATGTCAGCCTTTGTGGGCGAGCCCAGCCCTTTAAAACTGCCCGCGGCGGGGAAGGTAGGGGCGGGCCCCAAGGCGCCGGCCGGCCGCTTTCCCAGGGAGAACGTGGGGTGCCGTCCCTGAGCAAAGGCGAGGGGAGCCCGAATGAACACGACGGAGCTCCCGGCTCCGCTCATCTCGGGGGACCCCCAAGGGGACCTACAGTCTGCGCGGACTTGGAAGAGACCGCGGATGAGGGAGCACCTGGGAGTCTGCGACGGAAAGGGGCGGGGGCCCCAAGTCCGACAGCCGAGAGCGCGCGGCCAGCCCCGCCCGGCCAGGCCTTTTTTGGGGGCCTGGGACCGGACCTCCAAGGCGGGGG